CCCATGGTTTTGATGACTGCTGCTGTATAGTACAGTTTGAGGTCTGGAAGTGCTCTTCCCCCTGTAGCCTTACTTCTTTTCATCATTCTTCTTGATGTTGTAAGTCTTTTGTTTTTTCCAAATGAATGTTGTTATTTTCTTCAGCCTTGTAAAATATGTCTTTCATAATTTTTTGTTATCGTTATTGATGCTTTTCAGTCATGTCCAACTTTTTGTGACCCCATTTGGGGTTTTCTTGGCAAAGATATTAGAGTGTTTTTGTTTCTTTCTTCAGCTGATTTTACACATAAAGCTACTGAGGCAAACAGAATTGAATGACCTGCCCAGGATCACACAGTTAGTAAGGGTCTGAGGGCAAATTTGAACTCAGATTTTCCCGACTCCAGGCTCAACATTCTATCCACTCTGCCCCCTTAATTTCATTACTACAGTATTAAAAGTGTAAATATCATTGTTAAGTCTCCATTTAGGTTTGTATCTTTTGTGGTCCCTGAACCAATTTACATTCTTATTTTATTATGGAAGGGAAGGATGTATAGATAACTTTTTATCTTTGTTTGCAGTATCTCTGTGGCCTAGTCTAAGGTTAATTTTTGTAAAAGTTCCATGTGGTGCAAAGAAACAAATTATGTCTTCAGTTCTGATTTTCTAAAAAGATTTCAAACTCTTCTTTATCTTTGAACATCCACTTTTTGTCCCACATTGCTAAGCTCATATTTGCAAGATAGGTCTCCCTGAGTGGCATACTGAGCTTCATTGCTTTCTGGAATACATTCTTCTATTCCCTTCTCATTTCTAGAGGGTTTGGAATAGTTTTGCTTATTGCAGTGTTCTTTCCATTGTATTTGAAAGTCTTTCTCTCTTGATAGCTTTTAGGACTATCTTACCTTCAAGGACCTGACAGTCTAATAGAGGAAGACAACACAGGAAGGAATGATGAAAATGGGTTGGAGTGAGGAGAAGGTACCCCAGTACAGGGGCATAATCGAGCAGTCAGTCAGAGAAGTCCCAAAGAAATGAGTGACATGAGTCATGAGATGTCTAAAATGAGCTTTCTCCATAAATGCAAGTTTGGAGGTCATAACCCCATCCCATGGTGGTGAGAGATGGTTGTGAGAGGCTTGAAAAGGAAAGAGATTTGGAATAGCTTTTGTTGGGTGTAAGGGAATCAGAGACCAACTATCAATAATAGGACTGTCCTCCTGCAATGAAAGCCCACACGATGAATACTGTGCAATGAAGAGACCCCAGTGTGGGGGAAAAATTATAAATGCAAAAAGTATAAAAGATCAAAAATACCTCAATTGTTCCAAACTAACATAATAGAATACAGGGAGTGAAAAGTGTTATATGGGTAAAAAAAAAATAGACCATGAATCGGGTGTTTTAAAGAAGAAATCACAAAGATAAAAAAGTAAAAGACAATTTTGTGCATATGATGGAGAATTGTTCCAAATATCAGAATTTCTGATAAAGTGAATCATGTCCCAGTGATGGAAATGAAAGACCTTCAAAGGCCAACACACATTGTGCATGTAGCAGCTTGGAAATAGATAAGTGCTCATAAGTACCAAGGTATTTTCAAATTTGGCCAGCCCTTCCTGTATATGGTCCTTTCTGGTCTTTGGTCCTCCCAAGTTTCCAGAGTTCTCGCGGTATATTTAGATCTTTTATTTCTCTTGAAGGAACTTTCTCATGAATTAGCTGAAACATAACCTACATTATCTAAATTTTGCTATTTTAATGCATGAAGGAATTTTCCACAATTACTTTTATTTCTCTGCAACTAAATAGCAGAGTATGAATTGATTCTCTGCTGCTTGTGCTAATGTTGTCCTGACCATAATACCAAGAAAATAGAGGTTGTCAGAAAGGTCAAGAATGTTAAGGGAATCAATGAAAAAAAAATATGAAGGAAGATGGTTTAGTTATATTATAAAGCTTGTTAAAATGGTCTGGTAGTGGTTAAGAAATAGAGTGGTAGATGAGTGGACCAGATTAGGTACAAATTACCTTATAGTAAATGACCCTAGTAATCTGGCATATGATAAATCCAAAGATCCAAGCTTTTGGAACAAAAACTGCTGGAAAAACTGAAAAACAGAATGGCAGAAACTAGGTATAGACCAACATCTCACACTGTATATGAAAATAAGCTCAAAATGGGTAAATTTATGTACATGGGTACATAAAGGATGGTACCATGTGCAAATTAGGAGGGTACAGATTCATTTATCTGTCAAATCTATGGTTAAGGGAAGAATTCATGATCAAACAAGAGATAGAGAACATTAAAAGATGTAAAATCCATAATTTTGATCATATAAAATTGAAAAGTTTTAGCACAAACAAAACCAATGAGACTAAAATTATGAGGAAAGCAGAAAACTGGAGAACTTTTTTCCAAGTATCTCTGATAAAGGCCTCCTTTTAGAAATATATTCAGAACTCAAGTCTAATTTATAAGAATACAAGTCATTCTCCAATTGACAAATGGTGAAAGGATATGAATAGGCAGTTTTCAGACAAAGAAACCAAAACTATCTATAATCATATGAAAAAATGTTCTTAATTACATAGATTAAAGAAATGCAAGTTAAAACAATTCTGAGGTACCACCTCACACCCATCATATTGGTTAATATATGTTTTTAATTTATTTTATTTTATTTTATTTTTTAGGCAATTGGGGTTAAGTGACTTGCCCAGGGTCACACAGCTAGTAAGTGTCAAGTGGTTGGTCTGAGGTTGGATTTGAACTCAAGTCCTCCTGACTTCAGGGCTGGTGCTCTATCCACTGTACCACCTAGCTGAACCTCTTATTGGCTAATATGACAAAAGGGGAAAATGACGGATGATGGAAGGTATGTGAGAAATCTTTATCAATGCAGTAATTCACTGTTGGTGGAGTTATGAACTGATCCAACCATTCTATAGAGCAATTTGGAGTTATGCCCTAAGAGGTGTAAAACTGGGCATAATTTTTGATCCAGCACTCTTGCTAGATCTCTAACCAAAAGACATCAAAAAAAAAAAAGAGGAAAGAACCTATTTGTACAAAAATATTTATCACAGCTCTTTTAGTGGTGGCTAAGAATGGGAAATCAAAGAGATGCCCATCGACTGGAGCATGGCTAAATAATCTGTGGTATATGATTGGAATGGAATATTGTTATGTTATAAGAAATGACGAGGAGGGTGATTTCAGAGAAACCTGGAAAGACTTACATGAAGTGATGCAGGGTGAAATGAACAGAACCAGGAAAACATTGTACACAGTGACAGCAATACTGTTCAGTGAAGAATTGTAAATGACTTAGTCGTTATCAGTCAAATCAGTCAAGCAATACAATGATCCAAGAAAATCCCAATGGACTAATGATGGAGCATATAATCCACCTACAGAGAAAGAACTGATATTGTTTGCATACACATTGAATTATGCTATTTTTCACTTTTATTCTTTTTTTTAATCTTGCTGTATAAAATAACAAATATGGAAATGTTTTACATGATTGCACATGCATAACTTATATCTCATTGCTTATTGTCTCAGGGAGGAGGAAGGAAGGGAAGCAAGGAGGGATGGAGAAAGGTCATTTCTCAAGTTAGACTGCCAAGCATTCACACTCTACTGCAGAGAGGACAACTTCAATGGGCTGGTCCTGTTGTTCAAATGCCAAAAGGATGTTTGCCTAAAAGACTATTTTACAGAGAATGCACACAAAGAAGGTACTCACAAGGTGGTGAGAAAAAGTGATACGATGGCATTCCCATGGTGTCTGTAAAGAACTTTGTAATCAATTGTGAGCCATGGGAGACATTGCAAAAGGACCACTCAGCATGGCCAGCCTACATCAAAGAATGTCCTGTGCTGTGGTGTGTGAGCAAAGCAGCATGGCAGTAGCTCAAAAGAATGGTGAGATGTGCAAATTCAGAGCCATCTCCAGCCCAAATGTTCACATGGACTATTTATGCCCAACCTGTGGTGGAGCCTTCTGGGCTCTGGTAGTCTGATCATCCATGGTCAGACACACTTTGACCCTGACACAGTGATGTCATTTTGGTCCTCTTTGAGGAAAAAGAACAGCAAAAAGGACCAACTATGGAAACCACATATTTTAATAAAAAATGTTATTGGTGAATGAAAACAATCATAAAGTGAAGGCATGAGATATTTTGGCCATGACACATTGTACCCAGGGCAGCCTCAAGCCCTCAAAGAAACAACAGATAACTCTCCTTCACTTGGCTGGAAAGTCTCATAACCCTAAGTTCAGTCCAGATTGTAATTAGCATGTTTCTAGAAGCCTTTTTATGTTGAATCTAGATAAGACTTTGTTTTAGCTTCTCAGGAAATAAGTAAATCTTTTCCTTTTCTTTCCTCTCTTTTGTATTCATAGAAATGCAGCCCCTCTCCCAAATACACTGTACCTGTCAACTTCTCACAAACTCTTTGCAAATTTTATTTTAATAATATGTTACTTCTATTCTGAGAAGGCAGAAATTTCAGATCAAGTTCTCTGTCTCTTCCACAGAATCTCCTACCTCACAGTAAAAACACATACTTTGTCCCAGATTCTATAGTGAGACACATTCCATAGTAAGACCTTTCTCAACTTTGTTCCAACTGACCATGTGAAATGCTTTTCTCAACATTCCATTGGGCTCTTGATGATGACGGTTTCTTTCAAGTGTTGACTCTGAAACTCCTCAAGGGTACAACCTTTGGGTAAACCCCCGTCATATGCTTCAGTTTCCTCCTCCCATGTGATAAGCGTTAGACGACAAGAATCCTGGAGTCTCTTTCAGCTCTAAATCTTGGGACTTTTTTTTTTGGTTAGGCAATGGGGTTAAGTGATGTGCCCAGGGTCACACAGCTAGTAAGTGTTGTGTGTCTGAGGCCGGATTTGAACTCAGGTCCTCCTGAATCCAGGGCCGGTGCTCTATCCACTGCACCACCTAGCTGCCCCAAAATCTTGGGACTTTTGATGGTTTAGGAGCTGGTGACATTCCAGGATGTGGCTGTGGACTTCACCCAGGAGGAGTGGGGCCTCTTGGACCATCCTCAGAAGGAGTTGTACAAGGAGGTCATGCTGGAGAATGCCCAGAACCTGCTCTCCCTGGGTAAGGACACTTCCCCTGGCCACTCTTTGAGTCTGCAATCCAAGGGAATGTCTTCATTCTTGAGTGGGCTGGGTTTGGAGCATTTATCAGTTACTGGAAGGGAAAAGTGCTGGTCTCCTGTGTCCAAGAGACATGGTCCCCTGCTGCCTGGTTTTCCTATAAAAGGGCAGGACACTGTGTGAAGAGAGCCTGGAGGTTTCCTGGTTGCTCCTGCAGCTGTCTCTTGCCAATTCTAGGTAGCTTGAGGTCAAAGATCAGATCGGAGTTGAAGCATCTCAGATGTAGAAGTAATCCCACATTACATAGTCCAGTCTCTCCCTGGACATGAATTTTGTCTGCCAAGTCTCTGGAAACTGCTCAGGTGGCTTTTCTTTGTGACCCCTTCCTCTTTGGGATGGTGCTACTGTATGGAACGTTCTTCTCAAGAAGCCTCAGAGCTCCTAGATATGCCTGCTACAGCATGTTTGTCCTGAATCTTCCTTTTCATTGCCCCCATTCTAGCACAGATGGTGGGGAAAAAAGGAAGGGAATAAACATTTGCTTCATTTTGTGGGGTTTTTTTTTTTGGTTAGACAATGGGGTTAAATGACTTGCCCAGGGTCACACATCTAGTAAGTGTTATGTGTCTGAGGCTGGAGGGAATAAGCCTTTCTATTCACCTGCTGTTCACCAGATGTTGTGCTAAGTGCTTCCTTTACAATATTATGTCATTAGGTGATATTATTATCCCCATTTGAAATTCGAGTAAACTGAAGCAAACCAAGGTTAAGTGACTTTTCCAGACCTACACAGCTAGTAACTGCCTGAGGCTGGATTTAAACCCTGGCATCCCTGACTCCAGGCCCAGGGCTTTCTCCACTGCACTGCCAGCTGCCTCTAATTTCTAGATACTGGGAATTTTGCAATGAGTCCATCCTTCTATGAAGGTTTGCCAAGACCAAATTTTCTGACTCCTAATTGGCTCCATGATCTTCTCCCCCACCTCTCCCCAAAGCTTCCAAAAATAAAAGCTGTGGAATCCTTGCTTAAGGAGTTCTGGGAACTATCCTGCAGTCCTTGCTTGCAAGCCCCTGTCAAAGGCAGGAATAACAGACTGGCTAAGAATCAGAATTTGGACTAACTAAGGTTCATTGAATTCCCCAGCAGGAGAATCCCACCAGAAGAGTCAAAGACTCCCTGAATGAACAGTAACAAGGTGTTTTTAGTTCTCAGGGAGTGAGGAGCAGATATGAGACAGGGCCAAAGCTGGTTCATCAAGGTCCCTTTTGCTGGACTTTAAGGCTGATCTGGCACATCCTGTTTTGGGTTATTTACATAATAAGCATTAATGAGAGAAGAAGCCATATATGTGTGAACATGATGGAGTAATTCTCCACATGCAATAGCTTTGTATACACACTATTTTCCCTAAAGAAATATAAATTACAAGTTTTCTCTGCCCTCATCCCTGATTCCCATGCTCAGGGCTGCCAGTTCCCAGAGAAGATTTGATCTCTTATTGTGAGGAAAGGGAAGCACCATGGCTGCTGGAGCAAGAAGGTCCGAGGAGCTAATGTCCAGATGAGTGAGGTGTAAGCAGGTGGATAAGAGCTGTGATGACAAGAGGATTCTAGGTGTGGAGGTGAAGCAAGTGCTAGGTTTGGAGGATGGAAGACATGACTTGGAATTCTTTTTTAGACACTTTTTAGCAATGGGATCCTGGACAAGTTACTGAACCTCTGAGTCTCAGTTTCCCCATAAGTAAAATTGGGGAGTTGGGCACTTTAAGCTTTTTTCCAGTGATAAGTCTGTGATCCTATAAAAACTCATCGTTTAGAATTTGGAGGTAGGGACTCTTTTGAAAATGCAAAAAGGGGTTAGGCTTCCCAATTTGAGTTCTTTCTTCGACTTTCTTCAAGTCAATGAACATTTATTAAGTGCCAGCTATGTGCCAGACCCTCTGCTAAGAATCCAAGTTATAAAGAGACACAAGGAACATCCCCTGCTCTCCTGGGGCTCAGAAACTGGGGAGGAGGGGAGTTGGGGCAGATGACATACCAACAACTATGTACAATTCTTCTATGGACACGAGCTTATTGAGCTAGGGACACTGGAAAGGCTTATTGTGTGAGGTGGGCTCTAGCTGGGGCTCCAGGAAATCCAGGGTGAGCATTCTAGGCACAGGATGGTGAGGACAGCCTGTAGAGTCAGGTGATGGAGTGTCCTGTTCACAGAAGAGAAGGGAGGCCCATAGTACTGCAGTATAGCATATTTGGTGAGGATATAAGGTGAAAGAGGATTGGAAGAGTGGGAGAAGGGTAGGTAAAGAAGGGGTAGGTGATTAACAGCCCTAGAGGGGATTTTATATTTGATCCTTTTCCTAGGGAGATATAGCAGGGTGTTGAGAACATGGTGCTATGGTCAGTCAAACATTTTGGAAAATGAACTTTGAGAAGTGGGTGGAGGAATGACTGGAGTTGGGGGAGAAATGACTTGAGTGGGGGAGACTTGAGGCAGCTGGGCCAAGTAGAAGGTTCTTACAATACCTCAGGTGTGAGGTGATTGCAACATGAACCAAGACAGCAGCAGTGTTGGGAGAGATGGGGGTGAATGTTACCTAGGTGGAATCACAGGACTTTGCAGCAGATTGGTTGTGGGGGTCAGAAGTGTGAATGTGTGAGAGTCAGTGAGGAGTGCATGACACTTCATTTGTGAGTCAGCACTATTGGGAGGGTGCCTTGGAGCCCATTAGGAAAGAAGGTAGATGGGAGGGTTGGGGAAAAGAGAATGAGTTTAGTTTGGTGAACAAGAATAGGAGTATCAGAAAAAGAGAGAGAGATAAGTCAAGAAGGATGAGGATGGGTAAGTGGGCAGTGAATTTAGCAACTCTGAGAGTGTTGGCAGTTTTGGAGAGGAGTTTCTATTGAAGAATGAAACTGGGAGCTAGGCTGCAGAGTATTTCAGAGAAAGCAAAAGTAATGAGTTGGAGATACCAGTTGCAACTGGGCATGTCCAGATGTTTAGTCATGACATGGAAGAAAGAAATTAGAAAATATCTCTTGGATTGAACGGATCAAGTGTATTTTGAGGATTGGAAAGAAATGGTTTTATTTGTGGCAATAGGGAAGGACTCATTAATGCAGGAGAGACTGAAAAGTAATGAAATAATGGAAACGCTGGAGAGGCAGTATACTGAGGAAAATGGCTTACTGGAATGGAATGGTTTACACATGGAAAGGAGTTTGCTTTAGCAAGCAGAGAGAGGACCATTTCATCTGATACTGAGGTCAAAAAGGAAAAAAAGGGCACCTCATTTATGGGAGATAAGGAGGATAAGAGAGCTCCTGTTAAGTGTCCATTTTGTTTTCAATTAAATATAAGGCAAATTTCTCTGGTGAGGAGATGAGTGGTTGGTAGAGAGTGAGAGTAAACAGCAAGGGAGAGTTGGGGAAGACTGAAAAGGATTGGAAAAGCTGCTGTGGTGAATATGATATGGAGTCACTCATGTGGTTCTTCAGTCATTTCTGTTGTTTCTGACTCTTCATGATCCAATTTCTTGCCAAAGATACTGGAGTTGTTTGCCATTTCCTTTTCACTTTTACAAGTGAGGAAACTCAGGCTAACAGGCCTACGTGACTTGCCCAGGGTCACACAGCTAGGAAGTGTCTGAGGCTGGATTTGAACTCTAGTCTTCCTGAATAGTTTTCTATCCACTGTACCACCTAGCTGCCCCAAGGGAGTCAGTTAGGGAGATGTCTTAGGATGGCCTTGCCACAGTGAGTGTCACACTAAGGTTATGTAGCCTAAATATGAAGTGGACTCAGGCAGTCTGATGTTATGATTTTCTCTCTCTCCATTCATCAGCATCTGTGTAGTAGCAAAGGTGGGGCTTCCTTAGAATTAATCCAAGGCTATGCTTTACATGAATCATGCACTTGTGTCCCTCCCCTGATCTCTGAGACTCAATATTTGGCCCATTCTTGGTTAATCATTGGCTAGATTCATTGAGTTGACAGCCACTCTCAATTTGAAGAAATAGGAGGTAGAAACTCCCACCTGTCCCACAGTGTGAGATGCTTCAGGAGCCTAGAAAGAAGTCTCTGTGATGTTCACTGTGGATCTGATCAGGTTTCAACATGGTTAAAACTAGACAAAAAGGCCACTTAATATAGGAGATAAAGTGCAGGAAAGAGCTAGAAACAGGGCTGAGGACAGAACCTGCATTTGCCAACTAAGAGACCAGAATACAGGGCTTAAGGTGGAGGCTGGGGCCTGGTGTCAGCCCTGGGCCCAGTCATTATTCAGTAAGCATAGATGAAGCACCTCCAGTTTTCTAGGCTCTTCACTAAGCTTTAGGAATAGGAAAGCCAGTCCCTGCTGTCAAGGAGCTGCCAATGTGGCCTACAAACATGGAGGTGCTTGAGAAGAAGCAACAGATCAGGAACCTCTCTCTTAGCTGATTCAGGGAAAAGAGAGTGTTTGGGAATGGAGAGACATGTAGTTCAATGGGATATGAGGGAACTCAAGGATTGTGGCTAGTAACAGTTTAAGGAGGACAGTGGAATTGGTGAGGAAAGAGTCAAAGTCAAAACAAGAATGGGAAGAATTTCAGGCACACCTCAGAGATATTGTGGGTTCTGTTCTAGAACACCACAGTAAAGTGAATACTACAATCAAGTGAGTTACCTGAATTTTTGGTTTCTCAGTGCATATAAAAGTTATGTTTATTATGTACTGTTGTCTGTTATGTGTATAATACTACCATGTCTAATAAAAATGTACACACTTTAATTTGAAAATATTTTAACTCTAAAAAAAGGCAGCTATTTGCTGAGCCTTCATTGAGTCTTCATCTTATTGCTGATGGACCAGTGTTGATGGCTGCTGACTGATCAGGGTGGTGGTTGCTCAAGGTTGGCAGTGGCTGTGGCAATTTCTTAAAACTGGGCTACAGTGAAATTTGCCTCACTGATTGACTTTTCTTTTCCCTTGAACTTAAAGGCCCATTGTGTGATTATTAATTGGCCTAATTCCAATATTGTTGTATCTCAGAGAATAGGAAGATCAAAAGAGAGGGAGAGAATAAGTCAACTTGCAATCATAAATTTTTTTTCTTCAAAAAGAAAACAAAACCAAAGAAAGTAGAATGTAGAAAGGCCATCTAGTACCATGGAAAGAGCATGCCCTCTTCCAGGGTTGGCGTTCTACCCTCAGCTGCACAAATGTTGGGCAGGTCATTCAGCCATTCTCAGCTCATGGCCTGAGTAGTGTGTGTAAGTAGAATACTTGGTCCACCTGCATGACAGGTGTTTGTGAGGATCCAGCTTGATTGTAAATCAAGCATCCCTCAGATGTGAGGTAATGGCATTTTCAAATGATTGGTTCTGTCCATTTAACTATGAAGATTTTCTCTTAGCCTGGTGAAGTAGAATGTAGATCACTTAATTTACTTACTGGCAATGGAGGGAAAGGATTATAATTATATAGTGTACATGTGTCTCTATATATGTTTTATTGTTTGTTTCTTGCAGAAAGAGAGATTAGACCTGAAATGAAAGAGACTACTGCAAAGCTAAGCATTTCTGTAAAAGAAACTCACCAGGAAAACTTTATGAGTGATGGTTCCTGTGACTTCACTGGGAGACAAATACGTGCTGTACTTCACAGAATCCACACAGGAAAGAAATGTTACAATAGCCATTATTGTAGGAAAGAGCCTAGTCAAAAGGCATCCCTTATTTACCATCAAAAAATTAATACTAGAGAGAAACCACATGATGGTCAAGAATGTGGTGAAGCTTTTAGTGAATGTTCATCCTTCATTATACATCAGAGAATTCACACTGGCAGGAAATCCTATGAATGTAATCAATGTGGAAACACTTTTAGAAGAAGGGTTTCATCTTGGTAAACATCAGGGAATCCACACTGGAGAGAAACCTTTTGATTGTAATCAATGTGGAAAGACTTTCAGACTGAACTCCTTACTTGCTCTACATCAGAAAATCCACACTGGAGAGAAACTTTATCACTGTGATCAGTGTGGAAAGGCTTTCACACAGGGCTCCAGTCTTGCTGCATATTACAGAATCCACACCAGAGTGAAATGGTATGAACCAATGGAAAAGCTTTCAGAATGAACTCCAAACTTACTGTACTTCAGAGATCCATACTGGAGACAAAACTTATGAGTGTTTGGAAATGTGATAAAATTTTTATGTATACCATCTCCTTAGCAAACACATCTGATCAATGAAAAGTATGAGAGACATAATTTCTCAGTAATGGTTTCATTAATTATAGCTAGTGAATATTTAATAACATGATGATCATTTAGCTATCTTTTGTAAACCAAAGCTGAATCATGGGGCTTATGAACACTTATATGACCTTAGATAAGTGGGAGTTACCAACAGGTATAAATCAATTCTATGAAACTAATGAAATTCCATCTAGAGTAATATGTATAGCAGTTATACCTTTGACCCAACTCAGGCTCAACAGACTCCAGCTTTGATTCAAAATGGCACTCCTTCATTGAGTAGAATTGATATTATCAGATCTTGGAATGCAGAAAGTAAGAGAATGGCTCCAATCTCCATGATGTGGGGACTCATTCATGGTAATTCAACATGCATTGATTATGTGCTAAGTTCTGGGGTACAAAACAAGGTGAAACAGCCCCTTCCCTCAAGGAGCTCACATTCTAAAGCATTTCATCAAGTAAGTCAACAAACATTTGTTAAGCACCTGGTTTGGTCTAAGTAACTACTAGGCTCTTGGGGATTCCGAGAATGGAGAAAGAAAGGAGAGAATTTGCAAACCACTACATACACACACCCACACCCATACATACATACATACTTACTAAGAGATATAGTGGTTATAGTTCACAGGAAGACCTGAGCTCAAAGCTGGACTCTAATACTAGTTAGTTTGCCTTTGTTTTCTTTACTGTAAAATTGTGGTAATAGGGCCTGCACAGCAGGGTTGTTGGGATCTGATGAGGTATTATTTATAAAGTGCTTGTGCCTGGCACAAAATTAAAAATTGTTTGTTTCCTTGTTTCCTACTGTCAACCTGAAAGTGGTTAAAGAGGCAACAAGCTAGGTGATGATTAAATTCATATTGTTTGTTCCCTTAAGTTAGTAACATGTACATGGAGCCAGAGCTTTAACTGTGACTGACTTAAGCAATTTGAAATAGGCAATTTATATTCTTAGAGCAATCCTGACTCAGGATGTCTATGTCACTCAAAAAAATATGTAGCCTTCATATGTTTTTAACATATAGCATGACAAAGGCAGTTTCTTAGTTGAAGAGGTTGTAAATACAATAAGACAAGAGAAGTAACAAAGTGTCCATTGGAATTATCGTCCCAGGATATCTGTGTTTCCCCTACATAACTTATGTCCATAGGATACCAAGGTAAGAAAAGTCCCACTCTTCCAGATAGTGTCTGGTCCCAGGTATCCTGTCCTTAGTGATTACAGACAGGAAGAATGCTGGTCAGTTCCAGCTGGCCCTGTAGTTGCTGACACAGGAATGGGCATTCCAGGTTCACTGAGAACAAAGAAAAGCACGTCTATGGTGTTGGGGTGGTCCTATGTGGTTGACTCATTCAGGCTATGGCCATTGTTGGGGTTCAAATGATCTTAAATGAGTATCACTACATACAAACTATATCCAAGGTAAGTTGCAGGAAATCAAGCAGAGGTGGTGGACCAAGGAAGGAAATAAAGGAGTGTGTAAATTTTCACATTCCATGAGGCAGGTTTCAGTCAGGTGAGGTTAATATTAACCAAAAGTTTCAAGAGGAATAAGAGGAAAGTTAAAATTTGCATAACTGTAGGATGAGCCCAGGTGGTTACCTGGTTGTCTCTCATTAAACCGTAATCTCGTAATCTCCCTGAGGGCAGGGACTGATTTCCTTTGCTGGCTTGGGAAGGGGGAATGGTCTGGGTGTTTTTTTGTTTTGTTTATGTTTTTGTTTTTTTGGCCTCTCTTTGTATATCCAGCTACTTGATCTCTGAAACTTTTTTCCTTAAGTACCAACCTTAACCCCAAATCAATCTGACTCTCCCTCCTTTGCTAATGATAGGTCTCAGGCCAAGGCCTGATTGGTCACTCTTTGGACCCTGCAGATCACAGTGAATATAAGTAGCAATTGTTTCTGTTTTGGCCAAAAACCCTGAAGGTCTTCCCCTCCCAGATTGATTTTTTTTTTTTTGCTTTTTGATGAGGTAATTGGGGTTAAGTGACTTGCCCAGGGTCACACAGGTAGTGTCAACTGTCTAAGGCAGGATTTGAACTCAGGTCCTCCTGACTGCAAGGCCAGATCTCTATTCACACTGTGTTGCCACCTACCTGCCACACTGATTTTTTTTTTGCTAGAGAAAAAGGCCATTCTTTGCCTCTTTTCTTATTTAGCCTTAATCACTGAATCAGCATTGCCTCAGTCACAGTGAGACCTCTTGAAGACCTTAGCTTCAAAAGGCCAAGGTCCCCTACTGCATCCTGAGTCATGTCCAGTCATCCTGATCTATATCTTCCCACCTAGATGGCTACAGGGGAGAGAGTGAGGCTGGTGACTTTGCACTGCCCTGCCTCACTTAAATCCAATTCACTTGTGAGTCATGGCCTCAGCTTCCTGAAGGCAAGGTCCTCTGGAGAGAAAGGACAAACAACAATGACAACATTAAACTGGAGAAGGAAATAAATGAATACAAGGAGAGAAAAGAATAGCAGTAGAAGAAGAGTGGAATTGGTGAAGAAATAGTAAAATTTACAATAATAATAATACCTAATATTCATAGAGTGCATACAATGTTCCAAGAAATTTACAAATATTTTCTTATTTTATCCTCAGAACCACGGCAAAGGGTGCTATTATTATCCTCACTTTACAGATAAGGAGACTGAAGCAAATAGAGGAATGGTGACTTGACCAGTGTCACCCAGGGAGAAAATGTCTGAGGCTGGATTTGAACTCAACTCTTCCTGACTCCAATCATAGTCCTCTGTCCATTGTGCCACATGGCTGCCTCTTGCTAGAAAATAACTTTGCACCAGAGTGGATGCTTCAAATAGAGGAGAGAAGAGGATAAGACACTTTTAATATAGTGTTCCAGTGAGTCATCTGGGAATGGGATGGATGGAAGAATAGGTGGGCTGAAGAATGGAGATCAGGCCACTCCAATGATTAATTACTAGTGTTGATCCCATTCTCTTCCCCCACCTACTTTATGTTTCTAAGGATTGAGGCACAAGCAAAGAGGAAAGGTCAGGGATATCATGGAGAAAATGTAATTAATTAATTCTCACAATAACATCTGCATGCCATGAATTCACCTGTAAAAATAGAGGAGAGTAGCAGAATACATTAGAACACAGAATTCACCATGTTGTGTAAAAGAAACGCCCTTGACACAAAGATTCACACACGCTTCAAATGGAAGGATCATTTTGTAATTTTGTAATACCTTTGGAACTTGGTCCCTAAACACCCTCCACCACCTGCCCTTTCACTCCATGACAACCACTAGACCTATAAACTAAAGAGTTAAATGACCCATATACACATCATGAATTTACAGTGGATGTTTCTTGTTGCTGCAAAGATCTGGAAACTGATGGTGCCTGTACATTGGGAAATGACTGAAGAAATGATGGTCTAAGAATATAATTGAAAATTATGGAGCCATCTTGTTTTCCCTCATTTTGAAAGAGGACCAAAATGACATCACTATCCCAGAGTCAAGTTTGAGTGTGTGCGCCTGTGGCTGATCAGATCAACACAAGCTCAGAATGTTCTAAAACAGGTTGGCCACAAATAGTCCTTGTGAACCTTTGGGGTGGATTCCCTAAGTTTGCAGATCTTGTGTTTCTCTTGAGCTACTTCAATTCTGCTTTGCTCCTAGAGCACAGCACCTTTTCTGATGTGGGCATGCCATGCTGAGCAGCCCTGTTCCAGTGTGTCCCATGTCACATAATTAATTCCAAAGTGTTTAAGGGAGACCTTGAGAGTGTCCTTGTATCTCTTCTTCTGTCCACCATGTGAACATTTGTCCTGTGTGAGTTCTCTAAAAAATAGTTTTTTGGCAAGCTTACATTTGGCATTCAAACAACATTGCCAGCCCATCAGAGTTGCACTCTCTAAAGCAGGGTTTGAGTGCTTGGCACTTTAGTCTGAGAAAGGACCTCAGTGTGTGGTGCCAGGTGATTTTCATAATCTTCCTAAGACAATTCAAATGGAAGTGATTCAGTTTCCTGGCATGGGACTGGTATACTGTCCAGCTTTCACAGACATACAACAACAAGGTCAACACAACAGCTCTGTAGACCTTCAGTTTGATAGTCAGTCTAACACCTCTTCTCTCCCACACTTTCCTTCAGAGCCTCCCAAATATGGAGCTGGTTCTGGCAAAGTATGAATCAATAATCTGCTGCTTGAGCAAATTTTGGCCTAACAATTAACACTAAGAAAACACAGGTGCTCTATCAGCCATCACCACACCATCCATATGTGGAACCATCGGTTTCAGCAAATGGAGAAGTTTTGAATGCTGGGGATAAGTTGATTTACCTTGGTACTGTACTTTCCAAGGACTTACACATTGATAATGAGGCTGCATGGAACGTGCAATCATATGCAAACAGAAAATCACGCCTCAACACTCCCTCCACTTTGGTCTTGGCTTGTAGCACCTTCAAGTTGAAAAATTTACTATCAGTGTGTTAGCTGATCTTAATGCCATGTTCATCCTCATTGAAGTTGTTTGATGACATGGCTGAAAACATCATGCTAAAAAGTATGAGAGCAAGCTCACATCCTTGTTTCACTCCATTGGTGACTGGGAAAGCTGGAGAGTATCATCCCTGCACAAGCATGTCATCATGAAATTGAAGTACAGTACTGATGAACTTCTCCAGGCAACCAAATTTTGACATAATTTTCCATAAGCTCTCATGACTGACAGTATTGAAGGCCTTAGTGATATCTACAAACATTGTGTACACATCTCTGTTCTGCTCTTGGCATTTCTCCTGGAGTTGTCAGGCAGCAAACACCACATCCATGGTTCCTTGGTCCTTTCTGAAGTCACACTGGCCCCATGTTCCAGGTGAAGGATCAGCCTATCAAGGAGGACTCTGGCAAGAATCTTGCCAGCAATGACTACTAAAGAGGACCTTCCACCCTTCCTCCCCTCCCCACCTCCATGATTGTCACAGGACAGTCTATTTCCTTTACCTTCTTAGAGATGGACAGGTGGTGCAGTGGATAGCACTCCAGCCTTGGAGTCAAGAGGATGTGAGTTCAAATTCAGCCTTAGATACTTGACACTTACTAGCTGTGTGACCCTGGCAAGTCAACCCTGATTGCCTCACCAAAAAGCAAAATAATAATAATGAAATAATATAAAAAAGAACAGCTAGTATAGCATCAAATGGAGTCAGTTATGGGGCCATAAGGAATGATGAAAGGCACAGTGTTAGAGAACCTTGAGAGAGTTGTCTGAAGTGATATAGATAAAAGTGAGCAGAACCAGAAGAGTTTATACTATAGCCAAACTGATCGGTGCAATGAACAACCATGACTCCAGAGCAGGAATTAGGGTTAACTTTCCCTAAACTTCACTTTCCACTGTATCCTCTCCTTTCTATTCTTTCCAGATCATGAAGACATAATGGACCCACTCCCAGACCTTCTAGTAATTACGTTTATCAACCCTGATGATGACAGGTTTCAGAGGGAATAGGTATTATTTCCTCACATTAGAATGTAAGCAGTTAATCCTTGTTTCTGTCTTTAATGATTTTTTATTTTTCTCTTTTTTTATCTTCTCTTGAATCCTGTCTTTGAACTTCAAAGTTTCTCTGCTACCCTGGTCTTTTCATTGGCAATGGTTGGACACCCACTATCATCAAAGTGGAGCTTTCCCCCTTTGTACTCTTACACCTATTTTTGGTGAGTTAATTCTCCTAAGTTGTAAAGCAATATCCCTTGTCTTCTAGAATGTTCCAAGTTCTTTGTTTTGTTTTGTTTTGTTTTGCTTGTAGGGATCCTGACTGTGGCTCCTCAGTGTTTGAATTATTTCTGGATGCTTGCAGTAATTGGATAGGTTGGTCCTGTGAGTTTTCATTTTGGGGGTTTCTTTCTGGAGGTGATCTGTGGATTTTCTCTATTTCCACTTTGACCTCACATTGTAAAGAGACATGGATGCTTGTGTTTTTTGTTTTTTAAATTTCTTAAAATGGGATGTCTAAGCTCACATTCTGATCATTTGGAATCAATTGTGAGACATTGGAGACACTGGCACAGGACCACCCAGCATGCTATGCCCACATCAACAATGGTGCTGCGCTCTGGGAGCAAAGAATTGTAGTAGATGCACGTATTTAGAGACATCTCTACCCCAAATGTCCATACAGACTATTAGGGTCTGACCATTGGTAGAGCCTTTCCAGCTTGTATTGGTCTGATCAGCCAGAGTCTGAGACTCTGAACCTTGACCCCATCATAGGGATATCATTTTGGTCTTCTTCAAGCACAAAGGACAACTAACAATGGTCCAATGTGCCAGACTCTGTGACAAGTGGTTTAGAGGTATGGTCCCATTCAATCTTTATAACAGCCTAGGGGGATAAATGCTATTATCATCCCTATTTGACAGTTGAGGAAACTGAGGCATGCAGATGTGAAATGATTTGCCATGGGTCACACAGCTAGTAAGTAGCTGAGGCCAAATTTGAACTCAGATCTCTGAGACTCCTGGCATGATGCTTCATCTACTGCACCACCTAAGGAATCCAGTGATTCTTAAATTCTCTCTCCTTCATCTGTTTTCCAGGTCAGTGGTTTTTCCTATCAGATCCCTTACATTTTATTCTTTTTTTCAATCTATTGATTTTACTTTAATATCACCCTTTGTCTCCTGGAGTCCTTAGCTTCTTTTTGGCCCATTCTCATTTTCCACAGATCTGTTGGCTTGGGAAAGGTTCTGCACCCCTTGTGCCAGGTTCTGCACCCCTTGTGCCAAGCCCTTAATTCTTTTTCCAACTCTTTCTTCCATACTCTCATTTCCTTTCCAACTTTTCCCCTCCAGTGTTTCCATATCATTTATAGAAATGTTTTGAAGGGTTCATGGTTGTTTGATCTCCTCTAGGAATTCAAGTCAGAATGTGTGGCTTGGTGCTGTTGCTGCTTTCTTGGGGTGCCAAGTGGTGTGTTACTTCAGCATCCCAGGAACAGCTCAGACTGGGGACCTGCAAGCTTTCAGTACTACCTACCAAAGCTATCTGAGGCCCCATCCACCTCCCTGGCTGAGCTCTGCACATCCTGACCTGTGTTTGAGTCTGATCAATCAGGCTATAGGCTTTCCCCATGCAGAGTTTCACTAGGTTATTGATGGACTCAGTCACTACAAAGCAGTCGGAAAAGTATTCTGGTTTAAAGGGACAGAACCACAGCATTCCATTTCATCTGGGATTCCTTTCCTGGTTATTCTTCTGCAGGCTCTAGACTGGACTGGAAGCAGCACCTGGGACCACACTATGCTCCTGGGATCAGAACCACAGGGCTGTTGCTGGCTTCTGATTTTGTTCGTTGTATAATCCCCATCCTAGGGCCCAGCACCTGCCCCTCACCATGAAACTAACACCTTTAGGAACAGATCCTCCTTTCTACCACCCTTTTCTTTTATCTTCTTCCCCTCCTACTTTCCTGCAGAGTAAGATAGAATTCTATACCAATTGGGTGTGTATGTTATTCCCTCTTTGAGCCAATTTTGTTGAGAGTAAGGTGCACTAACTCCCTCTGATCTTCAGGTGGCTTTACCTAGCTCCCTGAAGGAGCCTGAAGCTCTCCTGCTGGACTTTGCTGATGTGGAATATTCTTCTGACAAGGACCAGGCCCATCAGACTTTTCCCTTATCTGATAATTTTATGTCTCTCCCTCATTAGAGGCTCTTTCTTGATATCTCCTGTTTCATGATTCCCTGTTTACAGGTGGCAGAAAGCCAGACCCAATGGGGCCACTCTGTTTGTTTTATGGACACTATAATTTTGGCTAAGGAAGAACATTGGCATCCTCAGTCAGGAGGGGAGGGGGATTGCTCTGAGGACATGAAGTCTCCTCCATTTAGTCTGTCTCTGAGTTCATTTTCTAGTGAGCTCCCCTGTATGGACCCATGTACACCCACCCTCCTCTTAAGAGAAATAAACATGCACATGCAGCCTAACTCTGTTTGTCTTTCTTAGAACAGGCTCAGTAATGGTTAACACACCTTACCAAAGGTCTATTCAAGACGACAGAGAGTGGGGTTCCCTTTACAACAGGTTTGAGCAGGAACAAACAGAATTAGGCTGTACTGTGCTATCACGCGCTTATTCATTTATTGTTATTACACCAAAGAGTTCTCCACGCATGGGAGTCAAAAAATAATTCTGAACACTGAGGTAAGCAAGCTGAAGGAGACCCTTTACACACTTAGAGCAGTCCCAACTCAGGATGCCTGTGTCAACCATAATTATAGTCTGTATATGTGTTTGGCCATAATGTGAGAAAGGAATTTCTTAATCAGATAGATTGTACGTACAATAAGATAAATGTCAAAATGTTGATTGAAATGAGTTCCAAGGTATCGTCACTAACATAACACAACACAACATGACACAATATAACAATGAGGTAGAAAGGAGTGCTTGAGGCAGATGGAGCAAGAACTTTGCAGGCTGAGAGATAGGACAGAAGATGCAGGATGTGGCGAGCCAGAAGAGTGATCCAAGAAAATGATGCAGTGAAGCCCCTCTCCGGACTTACCTGTGTGCTTTCACAAAGCACCCCCTCCCCTTTCTTATTCTCCTTGCTTTTCTGTATCAGATATCCCTGATATCCCCTCTTTCCATTCTCTTGTCCTACTTGCCCCTATGCTGGAAAAAGTTGTAATTGCTCTGCCTCGTAACATAACACAACATGACATGACATAACAGAACAGAACAGAACAGAACAAACAGAACAGAACAGAACAGAACAGAACAGAACAGAACAGAACAACAAAAGTCCCATCACTCAAGATAGTGTCCAGGTCAAGGTGCTTTGTCCTTGGCATTTATAAACAGAAGAATGCTCCTGGTCAGCTTCATCTGAGCCTTGTAGTTGCTGACACACACAAGAAGGGGCATGTTGGGTTCACTCAGAGAACAAAGCAAAGCCGTGTCTGTTATGCCAGAGCACGCAAGGCATTATGATAGGTGAAGCTCAGAGGGGGACAAAATGTCTTTCTCCCATTTGGCCAAGCCAGGATTTAGACATTTCTCAGGTGAGGAGAATTCAAAATGGTTTGGGGAAGCCCCTGCCTGGTTCACACTCCTTTTCTAAGGGTACAATTGCATACCCCTTTAGAAATCATTTTTTCAAATTAAGAGCATGACTTATACATTGGTTTTCCCCGAATCCACAATTGAGAAAAATTTGAAGCGTAATAACAACATAAACACTGTTACAATGTCAATACATGAAACAAAGTTGCCAGTCAAATAACATCAATTCAGTTGATTATCTTAGATATTGTGGAAAATGATTTTTCTTGGTAATCTGTATCTTGGAGACTCATCGAGCTCCCCCCCTGCAAGCCTTCTGCTTCAAAGTTCTTCAGAAGGCCCTCACTGATAATGAGATTGTCTTGTCTTGATCAAACTCTACCCAAATCTGAACTGATTTTATACTTTTCAGGCTCCAGTGGAGACAAATACTCCTACCTAGATAGAAGGACACTAGGAGTGGTCTGGAAGGATGACAGGTTGATAGGAAGTTGAAATAGTATATAAGGCTACACCCCAAAATCCTAAACCAAGCCAGTTTGGACTTAACTCCCACGCAATGCATGTCAAACTAGCTTGAGAGAAATTAACTGCAGGACAAGCATACCCCAATTTTGTCTCTTTTTTAGAACAAGATGTTTCAATTTGGGGTTCATGGTTCACAATATAAAAACCATTTTACCCATTTACCTGTTTGACCCTATAGAATGACTGCATTCAGACAGTACAATAGGGTAATTCTGATATAAGCTGATATAATTCTGATATAGAGGATATAAACATGCAGCTCTGATGGAGAGAAAGATTGGTCCTGCATTTGAAAGACTTTCTACATTGATTATATTCATGAGGTTTGTATACAGTGTGGATTCTCTGATGTAGACTAAGATCACTTTTACACCTGAAAGCCTTTCCACATTGATTACATTCACAAGGTTTCCCTCCCCTGTGGAGTCTTTGATGTTTAATAAAGTTGGAGCTCTGTGTAAAAGACTTTCCACACTGATTACCTTCATAAGGTTTCTCTCCAGTGTGAATTTTTTCATGTAGAGCAAGTTCCCAGTTTAGTCAGAAAGTTTTTCCACATTGGTCACATTCATATGGTTTCTCTCCAGTGCAGCTTCTGTGATGTAGACAAAGATGACTTTTAAACCTGAAAGCCTTTCCACACTGATTACCTTCATAAGGTTTCTCTGCAGTGTGGATTCTCTGATGTAGGCTAAGATCACTTTTACACCTGAAAGTCTTTCCACATTGATTACATTCATAAGGTTTCTCTCCAGTGTGGAAACTGATGTTGAGTAAGTTTGGAGCTCTGTGTGAAAGCCTTTCCACAGTGATTACATTCATAAGGTTTCTCTCCAGTGTGGATTCTTTGATGTATACTAAGGCTGGACCTCAGTGTGAAAGCCTTTCCACACTGATTACATTTATAAAGTTTCTTTCCAGTGTGGATTTTCTCATGTACAGCATTTCCCAGTTTAGTCTGAAAGCTTTTCCACATTGATCACATTCATATAGTTTCTCTCCAGTGAGGATTCTCTGATGTAGACGAAGATCACTTTTATATCTGAAAGCCTTTCCACACTACTTACATTCATATAGTTTCTCTCCAGTGAGGATTCTCTGATGTAGACGAAGATCACTTTTATATCTGAAAGCCTTTCCACACTACTTACATTCATATAGTTTCTCTCCAGTGAGGATTCTCTAATGTAGACGAAGATCACTTTTATATATGAAAGCCTTTCCGCACTACTTATATTCATAAGGTTTCTCTCCAGTGTGCTTTCTCTGATGTAGACTAAGATCACTTTTACACCTGAAAGACTTACCACACTGACCACATTCATAAGGTTTCTCTCCAGTGTGGATTCTCTGATGTTTAATAAGGCTGGAGCTCTGTGTGAAAGCCTTTCCACACTGATTGCATTGATAAGGTTTCTCTCCAGTGTGGATTCTCTGATGAAGACTAAGGTTACTTTTATACCTGAAAGCCTTTCCACACTGATTACATTCATAAGGTTTCTCTCCAGTGTGCTTTCTCTGATGTAGACTAAGTTTACTTTTACACCTGAAAGCCATTCCACACTGATTACATTCATGAGGTTTCTCTCCAGTGTGAACTCTTTGATGTTTAATAAGGCTGGAGCTCTCTGTGAAAGCCTTTCCACACTGAATACATTCATAAGGTTTCTCTCCAGTGTGCTTTCTCTGATGTAGACTAAGTTTACTTTTACACCTGAAAGCCTTTCCACACTGACTACATTCATATGGTTTCTCTCCAGTGTGGATTCTCTCATGAAGACTAAGGTCACTTTTACACCTGAAAGCCTTTCCACACTGATTACATTCATAAGGTTTCTCTCCAGTGTGGTTTCTCTGATGTAGACTAAGTTTACTTTTACACCTGAAAGCCTTTCCACACTGAATACATTCATAAGGTTTCTCTCCAGTGTGGAGTCTCTGATGTTGAGTAAGTTTGGATTTCTGTGTGAAAGCCTTTCCACACTGATTACACTCATAAGGTTTCTCTCCAGTGTGGAGTCTCTGATGTTGAGTAAGTTTGAAGCTCTGTGTGAAAGCCTTTCCACACTGATTACATTTGTAAGGTTTCTCTCCAGTATGGATTCTCTGATGTATAACAAGGTAGGAGTTCTGTGTGAAAGCCTTTCCACACTGATAACATTCATAAGGTTTCTCTCCAGTGTGCAGTCTTTGATGGTTAATAAGGTTGGAGCTTCGTGTGAAAGCCTTTCCACATTGATTACATTCATAAGGATTCTCTCCAGTGTGGTTTCTGTGATGTAGAATAAGATCACTTTTACACCTGAAAGTCTTTCCACACTGATTACATTCACAAGGTTTCTCTCCAGTGAGGAGTCTTTGATGCTGAGTAAGTTTGGATTTCTGTGTAAAAGCCTTTCCACACTGATTACATTCATAAGGTTTCTCTCCAGTGTGGATTCTTTGATGTATACTAAGGCTGGACTCTGTGAAAGCCTTTCCACACTGATTACATTCATAAGGTTTCTCTCCAGTGTGGAATTCTCTGATGTACAATAAGGTTGGAGTTCTGTGTGAAAGCCTTTCCACACTGATTACATTCATAACGTTTCTCTCCAGTATGGAGTCTTTGATGTTTAATAAGGCTGGACTTCTGTGTGAAAGCCTTTCCACACTGATTACATTCATAAGGTTTCTCTCCAGTGTGGAGCCTTTGATGTTTAATAAGGCTGGAGCTCTGTGTGAAAGCCTTTCCACACTGATTACATTCATATGGTTTCCTGCCAATGTAATTTCTCCCATGTGTAATGAAGGATGAGCATTCACTAAAAGTTTTACCACATTCATGACACTCATGTAGTTTCATGCCAGGATTAATTTTTTGATGGTAAATAAGGGATGACTGTTGACTCAACACCTTCCCATCATGAAGACAATCATAAGGTTTTTCTCCTCTGTGGATTCTGTGAAATGCAGCACAGATTTGTCTCCCAGTGAAGTCACAAGGACCAACCCTCATGAAACTTTCTTCATCAGTTTCTTTCACAGAAATGCTTAGCTTTGCAGTAGTCTCTTTCATTTCAGATCTAATCTCTCCTTCTGTAAGAAACAGTAAAACATACATAAAGACACATGTACACACATATATAGTTATATTCCCTTCCCTCCACTGCCAGAAAGTGACTGAGAAAGCAGGATCTACATCCTACCTCCACGGTCTAAGAGAAAAGTCTGCAAAGTTCAATGGACAGAATCAGTCATTTGAAAATTGTATTAGTTCACATCAGAGGGATGCTTCATTCACACAGAGCTTCACACAGAATCACACTGGATCCTCACAAAACCCTATGACACTGGCAGGCCCCACATTCTCATTTACACCTCAGGCCATGAGCTCAGAATGGCTGGGTGACCTGCCCAACATCTGTGCAGCTGAGGCTAGTACTCCAAACCTGCAAATGGGCATGCTCTGTCCATGGTACAAGGTGGCCATTCTCTATTGCACTTTCCTTTGTTTTCTTTTTTTTTTTAAGAAATGTTATTTTATTATTGTATGTTGACTTGTTCTCTCCCTCTCTTTAGGTCTTCCTATTTCCTGAGACATAACAGTATACAAATTAGGCCAATTAATAACCCTACAATGGGGCTATAAGTTCAAGAAGAAAAGAAGAGTCAATCAATGTGGCAAACTTCACTGTAGCCTAGTTTTAAGAAATTCCCACAGTCACTGCCAACTTTGAGCAACCCCCACCTTGATGAGTCAGCAGCCATCAACACCGGTCTAGAGCCACCATCAGTAACAAGATTATGATTCACTGAAGGCTCAGATGACAGATAGCTTTTATTTGCAATGAAGCATTTTTAAGTTTCAGTACATACATTTTTATTATCATTACTATTATCATTATCATCATTATTATTATTATTATATGGCAATTGGAGTTAAGTGATTTGCCTAGGGACACACAGCTCGAAAGTGTCAAGTGTTTGGTCTGAGGCCAGATTTAAACTCAGGTCCTCCTCACTTCAGGTCCGGTCCTCTATCCACTGTGCCACCTAGCTGCCCCCAGTACATACATTTTAGAAAACAGTATTGCACACATAATAGACAACAGTATATAGGAAATATAACTTGACCTTTATATATACTGAGAAATGAAAAAATTCATGTGACGTAATTGGTTGCAGTATTCACTGCAGCTTTAGAAAGAACCTACAATGTCTCTGAGGTGTGCCTGAAATTTTTCTCATTCTTGTTTTGACTTTGACTCTTTCCTCCTCAATTTGAGTCTCCTCCTTAAACTGTTACTAGCCACACTCCTTGAGTGCCTCATATCCCATTGAACTACATGTATCTCCATTCCCAAACACTCTCATTTACCAGAACCAGCTAAGAGTGAGGCTCCTCATCTGTTGCTTCTTCTCAAACACTTCCATGTTTGCAGGCCATGTTTGCAGCTCCTTGACAACAGGGACTGGCTTTTCCCTTTCCTACAGCTTAACAAGCTGTGTAGAAAAGTGCAGGTGCTTCATCCATGCTTACTGACTGATGACTCGGCCCAGGGCTGACACCAGGCCCCAGGCTCTATCTCAAGCACTGTATTCTGGTCTCTCTCTTAGTTGGCAAATGCAGGTTCTGGTTTCAGGCCTGTTTCTGCCTCTTTTCTGTACTTTATCTGCTATACTGAGTGGCCGTTTTGTCTAGTTCTAACCATGTTGCAAACTGAGCAGACCTACAGTGAAAATCACACAGACTTCTTCCTAGACTCCTGGGAGTTTCCACTTGCCACTACCCTAAACTGAGAGTGACTGTCAACTCAATGATTCACCAAGAATTGGCCAAAGATTCAGCCTCAGAGACCAGGGGAGGGACACAGGTTGATGGTTTATGCAAAGCATAGCCTTGGGCTAATTCTACTTTGTGACTACTTAGATACTTAGACCCAGGCTTCCTGGGTACACTTCACATTCAGGTTACATAATCTCAGTGTGGCCCTCACTGTGGCAAGGCCATTCTTTGACATCTTCCTAACTGACTCCCTTGGGACAGCTACATGGTGCAGTAGATAGAGTACTGGTCAGGAAGAGTCCAGTTCAAATCCAGCAACAGATACTTACTAGCTATGTGACCCTGGGCAAGTCACTCAGGCCTGCTGGCCTCACCTAACTCAGGTGCAAAACTACCCTGAAAAGGAAATGGCAAACCACTCCAGTATCTTTACTAAGAAAAGCTCAAACTCGGTCATGAAGACTCAGAAACAATTGAAATGACTGGACAATGATGTGACTGACTTCCCTGGTTTCATTCACAGCAACTTTTCCAATTCTTTTTATTCTTCCAAAGCCTCCTGTAATTCTTGCTCCCACTCTCTCCACCTACCACTCACCTCCTCAACGGGGATTTTTGCCTTATATTTCATTGAAAAAAATTGGATATTTAACAAAAGCTGTCTTATCTTCATCTTCTGTAAATCGAGTGCGTTTTTTCCCTTTATGACACCAGTATCAGATAAAAGCATCTTCCTTCTGCCTCCTAAAAGAAACTCCTTTCCATGTGTCAATCATCCCATTCCATCACACCATCTTCCAGGTATACCGCCTCTCCAGCATTGTGTTTTCACTACTTTTCACCCTCTCCAACACTAATGTCACCTTCCCTATTTCCAGAAATATTACCTTTTCTCTCTAATCCTCAAAATACAGTCACTTGATCCATTCAATCCAAGAGATATTTTCTAATATCTTTCTTCCATGTCATGACTAAACAGCTGGACAGGCCCATTTACAACTGCTGTGTCCAACCCCTTCCTTTTGTTTTCTCTGAAATACTCTGCAGTCTAGCTCCCAGTTGCAGCTCCATCTTCAATGGAAACTCCTCTCCAAAATTAACAAAACTCTCAAAATCAACTGGTCATTTCTTCATCCTCATCCTTTTCTGACTTCTCTGCAGCCTTTGATACAGTCAATCACCGTTTCCTCTCTCTCTCTCTGAGTTTTAGTGACACTGCTCTCCTGGTTCTCCTACTTTATCCAAACTAAACTCATTCTTTTTTCCTCAAACCTCCCCTCTTCCTACTTCCCTAACGCTTTCCAAGGCATCCTCTCAATAGTACTGACTCACAAATGAGGTGTCATGCACCCCTCACTGACTCTCATAGTCACACTCCGGATCCCCATATTTAATCTGCTGCAAAGTCCTGTGATTCCACCTAGGTAACATCTCTTCCACTCACCCCCTTCTCTCCAAACACTTCCACTGTCTTGATCAAGGCTCCAATCACCTCACACCTGAGGTACTGCAAGAACCCACCGCTTGGCCCAGCTGCCTTAAGTCTCCCCCACTCCAGGCATTCTTCCACCCACTTCTCAAAGCATCTTCCTAACGTTTTGACTGACCATGTCACCATGTTCTCAACACCCTGCTATATCTCCCTAGGAAAAGGATCAAATATAAAATCCCTCTAGGGCTATTAATCACCTAACCCTGCTTTACCTAACCCTCTCCCACTCTTCCAATCCTCTTTCACCTTATATCCCCACCAAATATGCTATACTCCTCTCCTATGGGCCTCCCTTCTCTTCTGTGAACAGGCCAATCCATCCCCTGACTCTACAGACTGTCCTCACCATCCTGTGCCTAGAATGCTCACCCTGGCTTCCCTGAAGCCCCAGCTAGAGCCCACCTTCCACAATAAGCCTTTCCAGTGACCCTACTCAATGAACTCCTCTCCATAGAAGAATTGTACATAGTTGTTGGTATGTCATCTGCCCCAACCTGCCCCCCCTCCCCAGTTTCTGAGCTCCAGGAGAGCAGGGGATGTTCCTTGCATCTCTTTATATCTTGGATTCTTAGCAAAGGGTCTGGTACATAGCTGGCACTTAATAAATGTTCATTGACTTGAAGAAAGTCTAAGAAAGAACTCAAATTGGAAAGTCTAACCCCTTTTTCCATTTTCAAAAGAGCCCCTGTCTCCAAATTCTAAACAATGAGTTTTTATAGCATCACAGATTTATCACTGGAAGAAAGCTGAAACTGGTCCAACTCCCCAATTTTATCCATGGGGAAACTGAGGCTCAGAGGTTCCTTGACTTGTCCAGGATCCCACTGCTAAAAAGTGACTAAAAAATAATTCCAGGTCAGGTTTTCCTGTCCCCAGATCTAGCACTTGCTTCACCACCACACCCAGAAGCCTCTTGTAATCACAGTTCTCATCCAACCTGCTTTCATCTCACTCACCTGGATAACAGCTCCTTAGGCCTTCATGCTCCAGAAGCCATGGTGCTTCCTTTTCCTCAAAATAAGAGATCAAATCTTCTCTGGGAACTGGCACCCCTGGGCATGCGGAATCATGGATGAGGGTAGAGAAAAACTAGTAATTTAGTTCCCTTAGGAAAAAGGGTGTGCATGCCAAGCTACTGCATTTTGAAAATCCATCACATTCACACATATTTGGCTTATTCTCCCATCAATGCCTGTAATGCAAGTAACCCAAAATAGGATCTGTCCAATCAGCCTTGAGGAACCAGCTTTGGCCCTGTCCCCTACCCTGCCCGATACTCCCTGAAACCTATAAACACCTTGTTACTATTCATTCAGGGAGTGTTTGCCTCTTCTGCTGAGATTCTCCTGCTGGGGAATTCAATGAACCTTAGTCCAAATTCTGATTCTTGGCCAGTCTGTTATTCCCGGCATTGACAGGGGCTTGCAAACAAGGAGCAAAGGATGGTTCCCAGGACTCCTTAACCAAGTGTCCACAGCATTTAATTTTGGGAGCTTTGGGGAGAGGTGGGGGAGAAGATCGTGGAGCCAATACGGAATCAAAAAATTTGGTCCTGGTGCACCTTCTTCACAGAAGGATAAACTCACTGTACAGTAATAATTATCTGGAAAGTAGAGGCAGCTGGGAGTGCAGTGGAGAGAGCCCTGGGCCTAGAGTCAGGGATGCCAGGTTCTAAATCCAGCCTCAGGCACTTACTATGTGTGTGTCTCTGGAAAAGTCACTTAACCTCTGTTTGCTTCAGTCAACTGAAATGTCAAATGGAGATAATAATATCACCTAATGATATAATATTGTAAAAAAAGCACTTAGCACAACAGCTGGTTAACAGCAGGTGAATAGAAAGGCTTATTCCCTTCCTGTCTTTCCCACCATCTCTATTGGAATTGGGGCATTGTAAAGGAAAATTCAGGGCAAACCTGCCATAGCAGGCACACGTAGGAGATATGAGCTATAAATGGAGGCTTCTTAAGAAGAACGTTCCATACAGTAGGGCCATCACAAAGAGGAAGGGGTCACAAGGAAAAGCTGCCTGAGCAGTTTCCAGAGACTTGGCAGACAAAATTCCTGTCCAGGGAGAGGCTGGACTACATAATGTGGAATTACTTCCACATCTGAGATGCTTCAACACTGATCTGATCTTTGACCTCAAGCTACCTAGAATTGGCAAGAGACAGCTTCAGGAGCAACCAGAAAACCTCCAGGTTCTCTTCACACAGTGTACTGCCCTTTTATAGGAAAACCAGGCAGCAGGGGACCCTGTCTCTTGGATACACGAGACTGGCACTTTTCCATTTTAGTAATTATTAAATGCTCCAAACCCAGCCCACTCAGGAATGAAGACATTCCCTTGTATTGCAGACTCAGAGTGGCCAGGGAAAGTGTTCTTACCCAGGGAGACCAGGTTCTGGGCATTCTCCAGCATGACCTCCTTGTACAACTCCTTCTGAGGATGGTCCAAGAGGCCCCACTCCTCCTGGGTGAAGTCCACAGCCACATCCTGGAATGTCACCAGTTCCTAAACCATCAAAAGTCACAAGATTTAGAGCTGAAAGAGACTCCAGGATTCCTGTAGTCTAACCCTCATCAAGTGAGAGGAGGAAACTGAGGCACAGGCAGGGGGGATACCCAAAGATGGTACCCTTGATGAAAGTCAGTTGGAATACAGTTGAGAAAAGTCTTAGAATGTAATGTGTCTCCCTGAGGAATCTGGGAGAAAGTGTATGTTTTATCTGTGAGGTAGGAGATTCTATGGAAGAGGTAGACAGAAGGCAGAAATTTCAGATCATCTTCTGTCTATCTCTTCCACAGAACCTCCTACCTCACAGAAACGCTGTTGCTGGATCAAAGGGTATGCACATTTTTGTAGCCCTTTGGGCATAGTTCCAAATTGTTCTCCAGAATGGTTGGATCATTTCAGAACTCCACCAACAATGTATTAGTGTTCCAATTTTCCCACATCTTCTCCAACATTTATCATTTTCTTGTTTTGTCATGATGGCCAATCTGATAGGTGTTATCTGGTACCTCAGAGTTGTTTTGATTTGCATTTCTCTAATCAATAATGATTCAGAGCATTTTTTCATATGACTATAGATGGCTTTAGTTTCTTCATTTGAGAACTGTCTGTTCATATCCTTTGACCATTTATCAGTTGGGGAATGGCTTGTATTCTTATAGATTTATCTTAATTCTCTATATATGTTAGAAATGAGGCCTTTATCAGAGAGACTGGTTGTAAAAATTCCTTCCCAATTTTCTACCTTCCTTCTAATCTTAGTTGCATTGGCTTTGTTTGTGCAAAAACTTTTCAATTTAATGTAATCAAACTTATCCATTTTGGTTTTCATAATGTTCTCTATCTCCTGTTTGGTCATGAATTCTTCTGTTCTCCATAGATATGATAGGTAAACTATTCCCTGCTCTCCAAGTGGCTTATAGTATCAGCCCTCTGCTTCCGGGAGCCAAGATGGCAGAGTGAAAAGGTAGTTGCTGTCCCCTAACAACTCTGAAAGAAAGACAGGGAGCAGCAATGCAGCAGCCCAGCAAACAGGTCTCCCAATGCCTGAGCAAAAATAAGGGAAGCAGGACTAAAAAACAGCCACAGGCAGATAAGTACCCTGCAGCATTCATCTGAAAAGAGCTGAAGAAAGCAACTTAAAGTCTTCCTAAAGTCCGAGCCTTGCTGATTCCAGCCCAACACCAGGTAAGCTCTCAGAACCTCCAACTGTCAACCAGGAAGAGATACTGAAGCCCAGGTGGTAGAGCAGGCAAACACCAACACCTGGACCTCCGAGTGCCTGGGGGGGGGTGTGGAGAGAACTGGTGGAAACCAGCTCAGAAAACCACCAGGTGCCTGGGCACTATACCTCAAAGGAATCTCCCAGTGCATTAGTAGAAAAAGGAAGATGACACTGCAGGGGGCCCCAGGTAGATAAATACCCTGCAGCACCCAGCTAAAAGGAGCTGAAGAAAGCTAAAGGAAAGGAAAAACAGGCAACCTAGAATTGCCTAAAAGTTCCAGCCTTACTGATTCCAGCCCAACACGAGGTAAGCTGCCAGAACCCTACAGACTCCAATTGCCAATGTAAGAGGCCCCAGATCACAAAGTCAGTGACCAAGACCTAGGCTCCCAACATAAGAAGCTTGGGTTAGTGCCCTCTGTTCCCCAGCAGGAGAGCTCAATCTCTTTAAAGGCCAGGGAATAAAGAAACACCCTGAGTAAAAAGAAACATAACATAGATTCATATAATGAGAAGAGTGAAGATCAAGACAGAAATTCGGAAGAGGACAACATTGTCAACAAACCCACATCTGCAACATCAAAAGGGAATATGAACTGATCTGAAGCCCTTCTTAGAAGAGTTCAAGAAGAATTTTAAAAGTTAAATGAGAAAGGTAGAAGAGTCCTTCAAAAATACAGTTGGCCAATTGGAAAAAAAGTACACTGAAGAAAACAAGTCCCTAAAAAACACAATTGGCCAATGGAAGAAGGAAGTACAAAAACTAACAGAAGAAAAGAATCTGTTAAAAACTAGAATTGGAGAAATGGAAACTAACATCTCTATGAGAGAGCAAGAATCAGTCAAACAGAAACAAAAAAATGAAAAAATAGATGAAAATGTAAAATACCTCATCAGTAAAACAACTGACCTGGAAAATCGATTGAGGAGAGACAATTTAAAAATTATTGGACTACCTGAAAATCATGATGAAAAAAAAGCCTGGGCAGTATCTTTCAGGAAATCATAAAGGAAAACTGCCCAGAAGTCCTAGAACCAGAAGGTAAAATAACCATAGAAAGAATACACTGCTCACCACCTGAAAGAGATCCAAAATTGACAACGCCAAGTAATATAACAGCAAAATTCCAAAATTACCAGATGAAAGAGAAGGTGCTGCAAGCAGCCAGAAAGAAACAATTTAAATACCATAGAACCACAGTCAGGATTACACAGGACCTTGCAGGTTCTACATTAAAAGACTGCAGGCCGAGGAGCTTGGATTGCAGCCAAGGATCAACTACCCAGCAAAAATGAGCATCATTTTTTAAGGGAGAAGATGGACATTCAACGAAATAGGAGACTTCTGAACCTTCCTGATAACAAGACCAGAGCTTAACAAAAAATGTGATCTTCAAGCACAGGATTCAAGAAAGACATAAAAAGGTAAATGGGACAGAAAGATACAATACGTTGTTAATAAGGGTGGGCTGTCTACATCCCTACAAGGGAATATGACACTTGAAACTCTTGAGAACTGTATTGTTATTACACCATGTTAAAGGACTATACATAAAGAGGGTGGATATTAGTTGACTTTCATGTAATAATAAAAAAGAAATCTAATCAAGTGGTTAAATGGATCCAAATAAGTGGATTAATCTGATCTTAGAAAATGTACTGAGAAAGGAGGAGGCAGACAAGGGTAAATTACATTACAGGAAAAGACACAAAATCCTATTACAGCAGAGGAAAAGAAGGGAGGGGAGTGAGCATTGTTTGAACCTTACTCTCATCAGATTTGGCTTAAGAAGGGCATAACATAATGAGGTATAGAAATCTAGAAGCAATATAATATTAAAAAAATTTGTGAAGAGTTTTTGAGAAGCTGTGAAGTACAGTACTCTGTAATGGTTGGGAGGATTTATGTGTGATTATTGATAAGAGAGGAAAGAAAAGAGAAGATTTAGTTTATTTCCTGAGAAGAAAAAACAAAAAGTTTTAGCTAGATAAACCAAGAAACTGAATCTCTTCCATTTGTGGCTAAAAGGTGCCACAATTAAATGATATCAATACTAAACATATATTCACCAAACGGTATAGCATCTAAGTTTTGAAAAGAAAACTTAAACGAATTACAGGAGGAAATAGTTAATAAAACTGTACTAGTGGGGAACCTCAACCTTCCCCTAGAAGAACCAGATAAATCTAAAAAAAATAAACAAGAAAGAAGTTAAGGTGGTAAATAAAATTTAGAAAAGTTAGATTGCTAGACTTTGGAGAACACTAAATGAGAATAGAAAGGAATATACATTTTTCTCAGTAGTAATGGAATTCACACAAAAATTGCCCATGGATTAGAGCATAAAAACATGACAATCAAATGTAGAGAAGTACAAATATAAAATACATCCTATTCAGATCACAACACAATATAAAGTATATTTAATAAAAGGCAGTGAAAACAGAGATAAAATTAATTGGAAACTTATTCATCTAACCCTAAAGAATAAATGCATCCAAGACCAAATTATAGAAATAATTAATAATTTAATTAAAGAGAATGACAACAAGGAGACAACCTAACATTTATGGGATGCAGCCAATGCAGTAGTTGGGAGGAAATTTATATATCCAAACACACACACACACACACACACACACACACACTTAATTTTAGACTGAGGCAAAGGCTGGGGGATGGGGATAGGCGGGGAAGAAGGAGGAAAAAAAGAACAATGTCAAAAGTACACAGCAGAAATAGCACTTCTAAGGCTATATCCAAAAGAGATCATACAAATGGGAAAAGGACTCACATATACAAAAATATTCATAGCAGGTCTTTTTGTGGTGGCAAAGAATTGGAAATTGAGAGGATGCCCATTTAACTGGAGAATGCTTGAGCAAGTAGTGGTATATGAATGTATTGGAATACTATTGCGCTATAAGAAATGATGAACAGGTTGAATTCAGAAAAACCTGGAAAGACTTGTATGGTCTGATGCTGAGTTAAGTGAGTAGAACCAAGAGAACTTTGTAGGTAATAACAGCCACGTTGTGCAATGACTAATATTGATAAACTTAACCTTTCTCAGCATTGCAAGGATCTAAGACATCTCCAGAGGCCTCCTGGTGGAAAATGCTGTCCACATCCAAAGAAAGAACTATGGAAGTTGAATCACTATCATTTTTTTTCTCTTCTGTTGAGTTTTGTTTCCTCTTTCTGATGGTTCCTCCAATTGGTTTTAATTTTTACTTACAACTTCACTAATGTGAAAATATATTTAATAGGTATGTAAATGTATAGCCTATATAAGATTGTACGCCGTCTTGGGGAGGGTGGACGGGAGGAAGGGGGAGAAAAATTTTAAACTCAAAAGCATATGGAAGTGATTGTTGATAAATCAAAATACATTAATAAAATTAAAACAAAACAAAACAAAAAAAGGGGCACAGCAGAGAACAAAAGAAAACTTACAAGGAAGCAAAAAAAAGATAGAAAGCTCTGAACACAATGAGTAGTGTTTACCATATAGGCTTTATTGAAATGGAAATTTATTGCTGTATATTTTGAATCCTCTCTCATATTCAGCTGTGCACATATCAATGATTTTTTTCTTTCCTTATTTTGTATTTATTTAAATTTTTTAAAAAAAATTACAAATAAAATATGCTCCAAACCACTAACTAATAAGAGAAATGTAAACCAAAACAACACTGAGGTGAAAAGAAAACTCCCAGGCCTTTGAAAAGTTCCCCCAACTCAGCCCTTTCCCTACATCCTCTCTAACAAGAGAAGTACTACTGTATCAAGGGTCTCCTTCAGCTTGTTTACTCAGAGTTCAGAATGATTTTCTGACTCCATCACACAGAATTGTCTGGCTTAATGAGAACAGATAAGCAGCCTGATCCTGTTTGTTCTTGGGATAAACCTTCAGTTAAGGGGGAAACTGATTCTGTTTGTTTCTTTGGACCAAACCTTTGGGAAATGGTTGACAGTGTTTGGGACAGTGACCACTGAAATCAAGAGTGTGGAGTCTGAATCAGAGATCAGAAAAGGTCTTTATTCTTTCTCAGGAGAAAGGGCACAGCCCTTGCGGCTGCTCAAGTAGGGGCAGCCAGGGAGTTGGCAGCTGGCTGTGAGAAGCAAAGTTTTATAGCCCTAACCCATACCCCCTCCCACTCTCACCTCTTTCCTCCATTGGCTGGGTACTCAATGCATACCATCAAAATCCGGCAACTAATGCCCATAGAAGCAAACATACCCATATTTGGGAACTAGCTGTATGGGTTCCCCAGGAAGCGGGAGTGGCCTGTGCTGACATGGATTTTTGAGAAAGGTGAAACTCAACTCAGGGCTTAGACCTGAGGAAACTGCACTTTAGGCCATGTCTCACAACAGGTAGTACTACTGTTTTGAATTTCCTGCATATTTTTACAAAGAAACAATCCATAGGTAGGGATGGCCAGCCTCCTAGACAATCCTCTTTGTTTCTGGAAATGGCCTCCTTGGCTGCTATGGGTCAAGTCTGAGGGTAGAGTGCACTCACCTGGGCTGAGGGTCTGTGGTTCCGAGGGGCCATTCCCTCTGGCTCCAGGCTCCCTGCTAAGTCAGGCCTTGATCCTCTGCCCACTGAGCTGGGGAGGGAGAAGGATCCCAGGGTAGGAGGCTGGCCTGCAGGGATTTACAGGGGTGAGGGACTGAGAATGCAGCCCACAGGAAGGGTCAGGCTTAGAAATGAGATGATCCCACCCTCTCCTATTCCTTCTCTTCTGTCCCCTTCCCCTCCCCCATTCTCTTTCAGAGACCCAGGAGGCAGAAGGGGCTTGGTATCCCAGATGGGATGAAACCAGGCAGAGTGTCAATGGCTCCTGAATCAGAGCTCTCCCTACGTTTGGTCCTCTGCCCTTCCTGCCTCCCCTCAATCCCAACACGCACACACACATATTATCTAGACACCAGACTGACTGCTTGACCTAGGAGGGAGGGTTGGGGATGGGGAGGGCTCTGGGATGGAGCCACCAGGAATGACCAGGGCCAGCCAGAGACCGGGAGAGAAATCCAGTCTGAGATTCAGCCACTTGGAAGGGGCCCTAAAGGCTCTGAAGGAAGAGGGGGCAGGCAAGCAGGAGGCCTGGGGGAAGAGAGTACAGGTAGGGGCTGGGAGACATTCTAACCCAGCTCCTGGCAGAGGTCAGGGACACTGGAGAGACAGGAGGGCTCCAGGTGGACACTGAGCCTGGGAAAGCAGGATGGCTGTGTGCTCAGGTCTAACTAGGAGCTGGGGAGGATTCCTGGGACCCTCTGGTAGAGCGTAGGCTTGGAAGGGGAGAGCTGACACAGGGAGCCAGTGCCTGGGATCTGACAGGGAAGCAGCACAGGAGCTGGGGGTCCAGGACAGGCCCCTATTCAAAGTGGGGTCCCGATGTGGAAAAATTAGGAATGTAATTCATTGTTGGTGGATCTGTGAGCTGATCCAACCATTTTGGAGAAAGATTTGGAATTACGGCCAAAGAGTTATTAAACTGCCAGTATCGTTTGACCCAGCAATACCACTATTAGGTCTGTTTCCCAAGATGATTAGGTAAAATGGAAAAGAACCTATATCTCCTAAAATACCTATAGCAGCTCTCCTTGCAGTAGCAAAGAACTGGAAATTGTGGGGATCCCCGTCAACTGGGGAATAGCTGAACAAATTGTGGTATATGATTGTGATAGAGTAATACTGTGCTATAAGAAATGATGAGCTCAATGATTTTAGAAAACCATGGAAAGACATGCACAAAATAGTGGAATGAAAGCAAGAGAACCTCATATACAGTACCAGCAATGTTGTCTTAAGAATAACTGTAAGAGGGGCAGCTAGGTGGCGCAGCGGATAGAGCACCAGCCCTGGATTCAGGAGGACCTGAGTTCAAATTTGACCTCAGACACATAACAGTTACTAGCTGTGTGACCCTGGGCAAGTCACTTAATCCCATTGCCTAGCAAAAACAAAAACAAAAACAAAAAAAAGAATAACTTTAAGAGAATAAGTTATTTTGATTATTCTAAACATCCAAATTAACTACAAAGGACATATGAAGAAAGGCACTATCTGCATCCAGAGAAATAGAATCATATATAGAATAATTTTATACACATTCATATATACCTATGTGTGTGTGTGTGTGTGTGTGTGTGTGTGTGTGTGTGTGTGTGTGTGTGTGTGTCTAGCAGCATTCATTTCCAAGGCTGGGGGTTGAAGGAAGAAAAAGAAAGTAAAAAAAAAAGAAATTTACAAGGTAATTTTGTTGCATATTGTAAAGGAATAGCAACTTGTGTTATCTGCAGTAGAAAAGCTTGTTTTACTCCATAAATTAAAAGTCAAATTATTCAAAAATAATAAAATAAATAATAATGATAATAATTTACTCTTTTAGCAAAGTCCAAAGGACCTTGTAAATTCTCCTTAAAGTTTCAGCCAGATGAAGCAGGCAAAACTCAGGACTAAGAGAATTAAAAAGAAGTTTCTGAAACATGTCAAGGTAGTAACACATTGAGGCTCTTCTCACTGCAGATCAGCAAGGGATTCAAGATGAAACCACCTTTTATTGATAATTTTTGTAATGAGATAAAAACCAAATGTGGATAAACCTTCTTCAGCAAAAGAGGCCTTGCATTTTAGCATCTCAAGAATCACCAGTACATGAGGGCTAACAGGTACAAACAGACAGGGGTCACTTGTGACATGGCAACTGCAAAAAAAGACAAACAAGTTCAAGGGACCCCTTAACATTCCTCAACATTTGCATTGTGACTAATAGCAGGTAGTCTCTTTTTGTAGATCTATTTTTCTGCATTTCCTGTGAGGTTTCTATGCCCTAATACATGGTCAATTTCTGTGAAGGTGCCATGCACAGCTGAGCAATAGGTATTCTCCATTCTACTCACATTCAAATTTCTCCAGGAGTCTATCATCTAACTTTACTACAACTTTATTCTTTACTTCAATTCTTTATTTTATTTTATGGTTAAATTTATCCAGGCCTAAGAGACCTAAATTGAAGACCCCTAAACTTCCTAAAACAATTTAGTGTATGTATATGTATATATACACACACACACACACACACACATACATTTATATATGTTTATATTATATATTGTCAACCTGGAAGTTGGTTAAAGAGACAACAAGCTAGGTGATAAGTAAACTGATTGTTTATTCCCTTAAATTAGTAACATGGACATGGAGCCAGAGCTTTAACTCTGACTGAATCAAACAATTTGAAATAGACAATTTATACTCTTAGAGCAATTCCAACTCAGAATGTCTGAGTCACAAAATACATATATATGTATATATACACAGACACTATATGTTTTTAACATGTAGCACGAGAAAGGAAATTTCTTAATTGAACAGGTTGTAAATATAAGAGAAGAAACAAAGTGTCCATTGGAATTACAGTCCCAAGATACCTGTTTTTCCCTAAATATGTTCATAGGATACCAAGACAAGAAAAGTCTCATTCTTCCAGACATTGTCTGGTCCCAGGCATCCTGACCTTAGGGATCACAGACAGGAAGCGTGCTGGTCAGCTCCAGCTGGTCCTGTAGTGGCTGACACAGGAAGGGGCATTCTTAGATCACTCAGAGAGCACAGCATGCAAAGCATTATGGCAGATTAAGCCCAGAGTGGGCCAAAATGTCTCTCCTGATTGGCCAATCCAGGTTTTAGGCTTTTCTCAGGTGTTGGACTGAAAAATTATTTGCGGAGGGGTCTAAAATACATATATATATACATATACACACATATGCATACACGTATCCCTAAGTGCACTGTGGTGCCACCTAGCCACCCCTAAGCGTTTGGGTGGTCTATAACAGTCAATGGTCAATAAGTATTTATCAGGTACTACCATGAGCCAGATATTGTCCTAAGGGCTGGGGATTCAAAGACAAAAATGGAAGGACAGTCCTTGCCCTCAAGGAGCTTACTATTTGATGGGAAAAGCCAGCACTCAAAAGGAAGCTAAAAAGGCAGGGAGGGGGCAGAGAAGATGCCATACACTGGGCATCCTCAGGAAGTGGGGAGAAGTCAGGTAGAGGAGCCACAAAGCAGCAGAAGCCAAGACAGGAGTGAGGAGATGTGGGAGTCAGAGTCCATGGCTCCACCCCCATGGATGAGGGAGGACTGAGAAGGGAAGAGGTTTGGAAAAGCTTCTGTTAGAACTGAGTTAGAAAATCAATTACAATCCGTAAAACGATGGCATAACACTATTAACAAATGTGATAAAGTGAAGAATTGTGACTCAGGACGGTGGGAGGTGAGTAGAATAACCAGGTAACTGCACCATAAGCTTGTAAACCAAAGCGAGGTTTATTCAGTCTGATAGGAGGGTGGCTCTCCCCCTCAAGGAGAGTTCACACCACTCAGGGAGGAAAGCAGTGTTTTAAAGGGGCCCCAGAGCAGTGGGATGGGAATGGGGTGAAAGTGAATTGAACAAGGTCCCCTGTTGCCGGGTGTCCAGGCTTATGTGGTGAAACAACCCACCAATCCAGTTTCTGCATAACAGATTAGGGGAGACTCTTGGGACCCTCTGGTACAGCTTAGGCTTGGAATCCCCCAGGGGAGACCGGGCACAGGGAGCCAGTGCCTGGGATCTGACAGTGAAGCAGCCCAGGAGCTGGGGATCCAGATAAGGGGCTAGGAAGGAGCTGGGGGGCAAGACAAGGAGCCAGGCAGGAGCTGGGGGACCAGAGAAGGGGCCAGGCAGGAGCTGGGGGGCCATAGAAGGGGCCAGGCAGGAGCTGGGGGCCAGAGAAGAGGCCAGGCAGGAGCTGGAGGTCCTGCATCCAAAGCGGGGTCCTCAGGGCAGGCAGAACTCTGGATCGTTATGGGGGGGTCGGAAGGGAGAACAACTCAACCCCTAAAGGCGGGCGGGGTCAGGGACCCGGAACCCCTAGAGCCTGCGGGGGGCTGGAAGCAGGACTCCTGGGTCCCCAGGGCAAAGTGAGCCCCGATGGTGATCCCGCAGAGGGGGAAGAGCCCGGCAGTCTGGTGGCGTTCGGGGACGGGCAGCGGGGGCCGCTCAGCACCAGGGCGGAGGAAGAAAACGAGGGGGAGCAGAGGGGTGGGGGGGAGCCCGGAAGGCAGGGTAGCCGCCACAAGGCACGGCTGCTGGGGCCGACCTACCTGGGACCTGCAAGCACAGAGCGCGGGTTGAGCTTTGTTCCACGTGGGGCAGGAAGAGGGAGCCCCGCCCAGCCAGGCTCCGCCCCGGCTCCTCCCCCCTCCCACGTTCCCTCGGACCCACCAGCTCACACCCACAACAGACACCTGCCCACCCTCTCGCCCCGCCCCCACAACTCGTCTAACAACTCCCATCTGCCGGGCCAGCCCGACCCCGGCTGAAACTGCGCATGCGGAAGCAGACCCAGACCGGAAGAGGTTCCGGCGAGCTTCTCCAAGGCCTGGGACAAGGCCGCGGGGCGGACCTCTCCGGGAGTTCCCAGGGAAGGCCGCTTCCGGTTACGACCACCACCCTTCTGGGAAATGTAGTCCGGACTGCGTCTCTGGCCGGTGTTCGGGGTCGATGGGCGGGGCGAGGCCCACGTGAGGTCCGCTACTGACTCTAGTTCGCTGCGCCCAAGGCGGGGCCGGATCTTCACCTCTGAACGTGAGGGCGGGGCCAAGGCGATGGGGCGGGACCAGGGGGCGAGTAGGGCAGGGCGGGGGAGGATAGAATGGGCGGGGAGAGGGCGGGGAGAGGGCGGGGCCCGGGGGCGGGGCTGGCCCAGAGCTCTGACTGGCCTTGGCTCAGTAGCCGACCGCGCCCCTCACCAAAGAGAGGGTTAGGCGCTTATGTTCACCATGGCCTTTGGTCCTGACACCCCAGGGACCCACCGCTTAAAGCTTAGGGGGTTCACGTCCAGGGTCCCCGAGGGGGCGTAAAAAGGGCCTGAATGTCCAACACAAGCAACGCTGAGAGCCCCCTTGAGGAGCTGCTTTGAAGGTCTACAAAGGCATTCCATGTAGTGGGTCATTTGCTCCTCAAAACCAGCCCAGGAAACGCCCACTTTACAGAGGAGGAAACTGAGGCCGACAGGACGTGGTGATCTGGAGGAAAGGGGCCTTCCCGGGTAGAAGGTCATCCACACAAACCAGTGTGCCAGGGGCTGGACTCCTTGCCTCAGTTGTTTCCTTTGTCACAAGAGAGGATCCAGCCTGGAGGGAGAGAGAGGGTTGGTCTCCCTCTGGTATAGACAAAATGCACCAAGAAAACCTGGAAAGGAGGGAAGAGGAGAAGGCCTCAGCTGGGGCACAGACATGGGTCTTCTCAGATAACTTAGAGGTGATGGAATTCCCCATGGGTTTAATGGATGTGGGAGAGGGTTGAACCAGCCTTTGGCTTTGGCCCATCAGACAGATCTCAGGGGAGAAGAGCCTTGGAAAGATCTCGGTGGGGAGGCTTTGGCTCCAAGCTCTTTCTGACACTGCAAATTCCCCACTTTGGCCTTGCCTCATTTCTGGGGCATTGGTGGAAAACACAGCCTCTGGATCTGGGGAAAGCCTGGGAGCCGGCCTGCCTCTAGGAGGAGGCTTTCAGGGTGGCAGAAGCCTTTGTGGACATTTTCTCCTTGAAGCATATTTAGAACCCCTGGAAAATGGGATTGTGTAGTTTGAACCTCCTCTTGTGTGGCTTAGAGCCTGGATCTGTTTGATGCTTTGACACCAGATCTGTGGCTCAGTCAGGACATGCAGGTCCCCCTGACCCCAGACACCTTCAGGGAAGGGAGGGGTCTAGAGGGGGAGTCCAGGAACTTTCTGAGATCTGCCCTTTCAGGGCCCTGTAAGTGCTGTATTTGGAAACTGCCTCCCAGCTGGCCCCTCTGCTGGTTCCCTTATTCCTCTGTCTGAACTCTGTGGAATGTAAAGCTTACTAAAAGCTCTGGGAGCAGCCCCTATTTCAGCTCTCACCTCAGCCAGAGGATGCAACAAGCTTCTTTCTAAAAGCTGTTATCTCAGAAATAGAGATGGAAATATGTGTGTTGGCATGCATGTGTATGTGTGTGTATTTAGTGGTTTGCAAGTTGTCTCCTGTTTTCTTTTGGTTTTTTCCATTCCTGAGAGCTCCAGAGTAAGTATTTCCTGCTACAGTAGGTGCTTAATAAATGCTTGTTGACTTGTTGACTTAAACCACTGGAATGTGAGCTCCTACTTAATCTTTGTATCCTTAGCACTTAGCCTACTGGCTGACACATAGTAAGTGCTTAATAAATGTTTGTTGATTGGTTGATAAATGCTTGTTGAATTAACTGATGGAGTCCAGTCCCCAGTTGCAGAGGATTGGAGGCATTCTCTTCTTTTCTGCACCCCAAGATCTGACAACATCAGCTGTACTCAAGGAAGGAGGGAGGCCCATTGGGAATCAGGGCTGGGGTCTGCTGAGACTAAGGGGGCTTGAAGGTGTCACTTGGATACATATTATTGCAGTGAGATTCTATCATTTTCCTAATCTCTGGTCAGACAGTCCATGAGGTACATTGCCTCTATAGTAACAATAACCACAACCACAACTTGTAACCAAACGTGTAAAGCCTCCTTCCCCTGCAGCTGAGATCTCAGCCTCCTGGAAGCCAGCTCTGTGGGTGCAGGTCCCAGGTAGGGCTGAGCCAGGCCATTGTCTGTGTCTGGCTTCTACTTACATGCCTTGCTACTGGGTCTCTCCCCCCACCCCCACCCTCACTTCAGCTGTGAGAGATCTCAGTTACTCAGTAAGCCACACTGTCCCTTCAGAATTGGGACACCCTTTTTTCAGGAGCTTCTTCTTCAGGACTGATAAGATTGGATGACCTTGCCCAAAGACAAGGTCCCAAGGCCCTTACTTGGTAAGTTCCCCAAAACTTTATAGAGAAGGAGAATTTACAAGGTCCTTTGTACTTTTCTCAAAGAGTTAAGTTTTTATTCTTATTTATGTTAAAGTCAAAGATGCCCAATTAAATACTTACCAGTGTTTACACATTGTAACCACCCTCTCTCACAGATTAATTCATAATTTCACAACATCTAAATCAAAAGAGGGGTTATTTTTCTTTCTTTTTTCAACTTTAGGGTTTTTTTTAATGGTGCGTAGTTTTAAAATTTGGGGTGCAAATTCTTCTTTACATATTTGTTACTGCAGTGCAAATCAACTACAGAACTCATATATCTCTTTGTGGTTCCCAGACAGCCAGTCTTGGAATTAGACTGCTTCTTGTTTTAAACTTAATAATATTTTATTTTTTCCAATTACATGGTAAGATAGTTTCCAACATTCACTTGTGTAAGATTTTGAGTTCCAAATTTTTTTTCTTCTTCCTCCTCCCCAAGGCAGCAAGATCTGATGTAGTCTGTACACGTACAATCATGTTAGACACATTTCTACCTTAGTCATGTTGTGAAAGGAGAATCAGAACAAAAGGGAAAAACCATGAGAAAGGAAAAACAACAATAACAAAAAGAGAAAACTGCATGCTTCAATCTGCATTTTTTGTGGATGTGGATAGCATTTTTGGCAAGAGTCTTTTGGAATTGTTTTAGATCATTGCATTGCTCAGAAGAGCTAAGTCTACCATAGTTGGCCATCTCACAATGTTATGTTACTGTGTACGGTGTTCTCCTGGTTCTGCTCACTTCACTCAGAATCAGTCCATACAAGTCTTTCCAGGTTTTTCTGAAGCCTGCCTGCTCATCATTCTTTTATGGAACAATAGTATTCCATCACAATCATATACCACAGCTTCTTCAGCCATTTCCCCAATTTCCAATTCTTGGTCACCACAAAAAGAGCTGCTAGAAATATTTTTGCACATGTGAATCCTTTTCTCTTTTTTATGACCTCTTTGGGGATACAGACCTAGGAGTGCTATTGTTAGACCAAAGGGAATGCACAGTTTAATTGCCTTTTGGGCATAGCTCCAAATTGCTCTCCAGAAAGGTTGGATTGGTTCACAACTCCACTAACAATGTGTTAGTGTCCCAATTTTCCCATATCTTCTCCAACATTTGAGGAGTTAATTTTCTTCTTTTTTTTAAATTTCACTTCTAACTCCTTTTTTTGAAATTTTGATTTATCAACAATCACTTCCATAAGCTTCTGAATTTAAAATTTTTCTCCCTCCCTCCCTCCCTTCCCAGTCTCCCTCCCCAAGACAGCATGCAATCTGACATAGGCTATATGTATACATTCCTATTAAACATATCTTCACACTGGTGATATTGTAAGGAAGAATTAGAACCAATAGGAGGAACCACAAGAAACAGAAAACAAAACAGAAGAAAAAAAACAGCAAATAGTATGCTTCAATCAGCATTCAAACTCCATAGTTCTTTCTTTGGATGTGGATATCATTTTCCATCAGGAGTCCCTGGGGATTGTCTCCCTGCCTTCCTCCCTCACAGCTGAGGTCACCGCTGCCTTCTCTTGGACCTGAGACCTCTGCCTTCTGGACACCAAATCTGTGGGGCAGATCCCATGTAGGTCTGAGCCAGCCCCTCACAGATCTACTGCCTGTTCAGGCCATGTTCAGAATCTTCCTAAGACAATTCAGATGGAAGAGATTCAGTTTCCTGGCATGGTGCTGGTATACTGCCCCAAGTTTCATAGGCATGCAAGAATGAGATCAGCACAATGGCTCTGTAGACCTTCAGTTCAGTAGGTATCTCTTCTCTCCCACACTTTCCTTCAGAGCCTCCTGAACACTGATCTAACTCCAGCAACGTCAGTGTCAACTTCATTATCAACATGTACATCCCTGAAAAGTATCCTGCCAAGGTAAGTGAACTTATCTACAGTATTCAGAACGTCTCCATTTGTTCTAACCAATGGTTCCACATATGGATGGTGTGGTGCTGGCTCATGGAGCACCTGTGTTTTCTTGGCATTAATTGTTAGCACAAGCAACAGGGAATCAATCCATACTTTGTTACATCTCAATTTCAGAGGCTGCATTGAGTGCACAATCATCTGCAAAAAAAGAAAAAAGAAAGAAAAAGAAAGAAAAAGTGTGCCAATGCTCCCTGCACTTTAGTCTTGGCTTGTAGCCTTTTCAAGTTGAAGAATTTACCTTCAGTGTGGTAGCTGACCTGAATGTCATGTTTGTCCTCAGTGAAGGCATTTGACAGCATGGCTGGAAACATCATGCTACAAGAATGGGAGCAAGCACACAGCTTTGTTTTACTCCATTGGTTACTGGGAAAGTAGAAGAGCATCACCCATTATCCAGAACACAGGTAAGCATGCTGAAGTGAAATTGACATACAAGATTGGTGACC